CTTTTTCATAGGCTTTTTTGAATTTGGGCAAGGACACAGGGGCCCAATGATCCCCTATTGCCTGGGGTCCCCATGAGTTGTCAGTCCACCCCTGGTATGTACTGTATGTGAGTGTGTATGGATGTGAGTTTATGTATGAGTGTACGTGTACGTACATACATGTGTGCTACATACATACATACATGCATACATACAGTGCACAGCATAAATGAGTACACCCCATTTGAAAAGCAAGATTTGAATCAATATCTCAATGAACACAAGAACAATTTCCAAAATTTTGACAACACTGAGTTTCATAGAACATTTTTTTGGCTCATTACATGAAAGTAAGACTAATAATATAACTTAGATTACAAAATCTTCAGTTTTATTCAAATTAGTTGATGCAAATATGATTACACCTCACAACAAAAACTACACCATCTAGTACTTTGTATGACCTCCATGATTTGTAAGGACAGCACCAAGTATTCTAGGCATGGAATGAACAAGTTGGCGACATATTGCAACATCGATCTTTTTGTATTCTTCAAAAACGACCTCTTTCAGAGCCTGGATGCTGGATGGAGAGTGATCCTCAGCTTGTCTCCTCAGAATTCCCCATAGGTGTTCGATTGGGTTCAGATCAGGAGACATACGTGGCCAATTAATTACTTTCACCCTGTTCTTCTTGAGAAATGCAACAGTGGCCTTAGATGTGTGTTTCGGATCATTGTCATGTTGGAAAAGTGCACGACGACCAAGGGCACGAAGTGATGGGAGCATCTTCTCTTTCAATATAAAGCAATACATCTGTGAATTCATGATACCATCACTGAAATGCAGCTCCCCGACACCAGCAGCACTCATGCAGCCCCATAGAAGGACACTACCACCACGTTTCAGTGTAGACAAAAACATTTATCTTGGTCTCATCACTCCAGAGTACAGAGTCCTAGTAGTCTTCTTCTTTTTCAGCATGGGCCCTGGCGAATTCTAGGTGAGCTTTTTGTGCATGGACTTTAGGATACGCCATATTGTGTCACGGGAAACAATCACCCCAGTTTGACTTTCTACTTCTTTAGCTAACTGTAGTGAACTTACATGACAATTTTCTTCAACCCTTGAACACCCCCTCCGTGCAGACGTCACGCAGCTGAGTCATTACGATGATCCGGCGGCCATCTTTGTAAGTGTATTTGTTCATGCTCCACGTGGATAATATTTTATACAATAAATTAAAAATACTACACCATAAGCGGTTCTCTCTGGGCTCCGTTTGTGAGCTTTTCCCTTCAGGGTTTGACCATATTGGATCCAGGATCGAGTCATACTGTAGAGGAATCATCTGTCTCTCTACAGCGATGTCTATATAGAGTTCAAGTTGTACATGTCACATACAGGGGAGGACTGACCATTTGGAAACTCGGGCACTGCCCGAAGGCCCGGGGTCAGTAGGGGGCCCCATTAGATACCCCTGGTACCTTTTTCATAGGCTTTTTGAGTTTGGGCAAGGTCACAGGGGCCCCATGATCCCCTGTTGCCCAGGGGCCCCATGAGTTGTCAGTCCACCTCTGGTCACATACTCATTCTGGTTGTGGAAAAGTTTCACCTTCTGAAGGAATTCCTATTTTGAATGTGCATTTATTCTGTGCTTCTGGTGAGTGCATTAGGAGGAAGAATTGTCACGGATTCACCCACCTCTTGATGTCACTTCATTATTATTACATCGAGTTTATATAGCGCCAAAGGGTTTGCTCAGTGCTGTACTTCATTCATCTACATTTTTGGACAATATATATATTTATATATACGCACACATATATATTGTTTGTGCTTTATTGATAATTTTATATGCACTGATAAGTTGGTCACGCATGTCACCAATTTTTATGTTATATGTTATTTTTTTCACGTCACTTATGATACTCACAACAGCGCTGCCCTTTCTTTCTTTTATATGTTTATGTGGATGAAGTGGGTTGCCCTTTTCTGCTAGCGGCTGCTATAATTTCTCTCTTTGCGCTCACCACATTCTTTTTACAAGTAAAAAATATTGTTGTTTTTATTTAATTTTCAGGTTTTTTTCATTTATATCGCAAAAAAAAAACAGTGGTGATCAAATACCACTAAATGAATGCACTATTTGTGTGAAAACAAATTGTATAAATTTCATTTGCGTGAAGTGTTGCATGACTGTGCAATCACCAGTTAAAGTAGCACAGCGCCGTATAGCAAAAAAATGGCCTGGTCATGAAGATGGGTAAATCTTCTGGAGGGCAGCAATTTGAGCTGCAGTAGTTCTTCTACTGGATCGGACTACATGGTCCAGCCTTTGCTCCCCATGTACAGTACAGCAATGAGCTTGACTGCTGAATACCGTCATTGGTTCCCCGATTTTCCTTCCTTGGACCACTTCCAGTTGGTCCTGATCACTGCAGACCGGGAACATCACACAAGAGCTGCAGTTTTGGAGTTGTTCTTACCCAGTCATCCAGACTTTACAGTGAGGTCTAGGATTGCACCGATACCATTTTTTATCAACTATTATGAGTATCGATACTTCTGCTCAAGTACTCGCTGATACCGATTACTGATACCTTTGCGGTGTGATTTGAGCGCATACAAAATAAATTAGCTCAGATCGCACTGCAAAGAATTTCATGATTTGAACACTTGAGTACTGTCCGTGATACTTTTTTTATTTGCACCAGGGGCGGACTGACAACTCATGGGGCCCCCGGGCAATAGGGGATCATGGGGCCCCTGTGTCCTTGCCCAAACTCAAAAAAGCCTATGAAAAAGGTACCAGGGACATCTCATGGGGCCCCCTACTGACCCCGAACTCTCGGGCAGTGCCCGAGTTTCCAAATGGTCAGTCTGCCCCTGATTTGCACTAACATACAATTTTGAGGACAAGCTTTCGGGGAATGTCCCCTTCTTCAAGGTCCAAGCTTGAGCTGATAGTCATAAAACTGTTGGATAATGATTGAGGAATCCCATGTCCAAATTCAGGCTGTTATCTGTTGTGTAAAACATGTTGGCGAAACAGGACAGAAGTTGCAAACAAGGATGAATTTGCACAGACATACCATCAAGGAACATAAAGAATATGACTTCTGCACACCTGTGGGACACCATTTCACACAACCAGACCACAATATGGGAGACCTCAATATTTTAGTTCTTAAAGGAAATTTCAAATCCATTCAGGAAAGAAAAACTTTTGAACTAAGAATGATAATTCTATTTGACACAAGAGATAACGGCCTGAATTTGGACATGGGATTCCTCAGTCATTATCCAGCAGTTTTATGACTATCAGCTCAAGCTTGACTCCCTCTGTGATGTGAGTGTTGTCCCCCCCCCCCCCCTTTTTGCTTTTGCTGTGTCTTATCGCTAGCGTTTTTTTTTTTTTCATCTCTTCTAACATTCTGCTAAAACTTTGTGATTTGTATAGTACTGCTTGGACCTTGAAGAAGGGGACATACCCCGACAGCTTGTCCTCAAAAATGTATGTTAGTGCAAATAAAAAAAGTATCACGGACAGTATTATTATTATTATTATTATTCAGTATTTATAAAGCGCCAATAGTTCGCTCAGCGCTGTACATTACAAAGGGGGACAGAACATGTGACAGAACAATACCAATACAATGCAAAACAGTATTTAATTGTTTCTGTCGCAAATGCACTAATATGGCTACAATCACCTCAAGCATGATTTGAACACAAATGTGGTGCGATTCCTGTCCGAATCACATGCCATTTCCCTGTGGGTTCAGTGCGATTAGAGCCATACAAAATGAATGGCTCAAATCGCACTGCAAATCGCACACACCCACATGTGATTCAGACAGGAATCGCACTGCAACTTCAGCTAAAGTAGCTTGATTTCAGTTCGAATCACAAGTGCGATTGGAGACCATTAATTTTGGATGGGCTCAAATCGCACCGCCAAGGTATCAGTTTCAGATATTGGAGCATTTGCACGAGTAATGCTTTGTATCGACACCAATATCGATATCAATGCAACCCTAATGCTCAAATCCTTACAATTGCCCATTTTGCTCTGCTTTCACAACATCAACTTCAGGGACAACATGTTCACGTCATGCCTAATATACTAATATATCCTACTCACTTTCAGGTGCCATTGTCAGGAATAATCTGTGCTATTCACTTTACCTTTCAGTGGTCATAATGTTATGGCTGGTCCAGGGGCGGACTGACCATTTGGAAACTCGGGCACTGCCCGAGGGCCCGGGGTCAGTAGGGGGCCCCATGAGATGCCCCTGGTACCTTTTTCATAGGCTTTTTTGAGTTTGGGCAAGGACACAGGGGCCCCATGATCCCCTATTGCCCAGGGGCCCCATGAGTTGTCAGTCCACCACCCCTGGGCTGGTCAGTGTGTGTGTGTATAGAGAACAAGACATTCTCTGCATGTTTATCATAGACAGATCTAAGGTTCCGACTCCTGGGACTTCCCATGACTTTAGTTGTAGAAATGGCAGAAACTGAGACTTCCTAATTATAAGTGGCAGTCCTGGTTTCCCTCTCGGCGGGCGGGGTCATGACATCACCTAGCACAGGATCTCTATGACACAGCCAGGTAAGTGCCCGCCCCCCTGCCCCAGGTGAGTCACCAAGTTTCGCTGGGTAATAGATGACGTCACTCCACCCTTCTATATAACTGCAGGGGGGAAGGAGAAGAGCTCCATAGTGCACCTCTAGCCAGGATCCATTGAAGAGATCGGTGAGGATTATCGGAGGGTCTGTGTGTGATTCGGAGGTCCCACTTTCAGCTCGATCTTCTCTCCAGCAGCTGGTTTCGGTGGAGGGGGCTGGTTCTCCGTATCCAGGTGAAACCAGAGATTCGTCCTTGTTTGTGAATAAGGCAGGGACCTGTCCGACCGGTCTGACCTGGTGTTGGGGGAGGAGGAATAGGAAGTGACTTGGGTGAGATTGCTGAACCGAAGAGGACATCAAGGCGGAGGAGTCCACCGACCGACCACACCATGAAGACCTCCACCATGCTGAGCCTGGCCGCTGTCCTGCTTTGCTTCATCCTCATGGGACAAGCCCAGAGCCCAAGTAAGTGACAACACACCTAGGGTCAGGACCTAGGGGGACACCACTTATGGGGTCACTCTTCACCTGCAGATCATGGCTTTTCTTTGTGTTCTGGAATACTTTTGCCTTCAACTATTGGTGGTTATAACTCGTGTTGGTTTTGCTTGGGGGAACTACAAATCCCACCATGTCCATCCATGGCAGAAGCTGTGTTATTGGCTTGGTACACAGATTGGTTCATAGACTGACCGATCTGTCCGGATTGGGGTTTCTGATAACCATGGAAAGATTGTGTCTCCAAATGATAGAACCACAAATGCCAGCATGCTCTGGCTATGCATGTATTGTAGAGGTAGCAAGATGTCTGCAGTAGTCCTGGACCCAACCAGGCTCACATTGATCCATTGGTAGCCTGGGGATCTACAGACCATGGGGTGGGTAGCCTGGGGATCTACAGACCATGGGGTGGGTAGCCTGGGGATCTACAGACCATGGGGTGGGTAGCCTGGGGATCTACAGACCATGGGGTGGGTAGCCTGGGGATCTACAGACCATGGGGTGGGTAGCCTGGGGATCTACAGACCATGGGGTGGGTAGCCTGGGGATCTACAGACCATGGGGTGGGTAGCCTGGGGATCTACAGACCATGGGGTGGGTAGCCTGGGGATCTACAGACCATGGGGTGGGTAGCCTGGGGATCTACAGACCATGGGGTGGGTAGCCTGGGGATCTACAGACCATGGGGTGGGTAGCCTGGGGATCTACAGACCATGGGGGTGGGTAGCCTGGGGATCTACAGACCATGGGGTGGGTAGCCTGGGGATCTACAGACCATGGGGTGGGTAGCCTGGGGATCTACAGACCATGGGGTGGGTAGCCTGGGGATCTACAGACCATGGGGTGGGTAGCCTGGGGATCTACAGACCATGGGGTGGCACCATGGTTAGCTTAGGTGGGTTGTCTTGGGGTCTTCAGACTATGCCATAGCTCTATGGGTGGTCTTGGATGTTTTCAGACCATGCCTTGGATCTATGGATGGTCTCGGGGCTCTTCAGACCATGCCATGGATCCACTGGTAGCTTGGGATTGGGGGGGGGGGGGTCTACAGACTTTTAATGCTGGAAGCTATAGAGGCTGGCACTTGTAGTTCCCCTTCCAGGCTGGCCATGTTTCTATGGTGGCTGTTGGTGTATGTGATTGTCTCTACAATCAGATATGTTATCGGGCGATAAGGAGATTTATGTTGGTGTAGGTGCGGTATCACAAAGCCAACAGGTTCTCTGATAAGGACATAACCTGATGGAAGGTCATGTCTGAGGATTCCGCTTTTTCTAGAGATTGAATTGGGGATCTATTCAGTATGAATAATCTTCAGTTGGGGGGGGGGGGGAACCACACCGCACCACTGAATTTATACTTCTGATACAAGTGGGGGGGGAAGTATGAAGGTGGATTGATGTCATTAGATTATACTAGTACCTGAACTGATACATGTGGGGTACATGAGTATACTTCAGTGTGAGATCACCATTGGCTTTCTACTGCTGGGACCTGTAGTGATACAAGGGACACCTGGAGATCTCAGGATGAGGTCCGCTCTGGGTGAAGACTGTACCTCTTCACTGAGATCGCAGGAGGGCTCTCTATAATGTAGAATGTGTGGTAGAGCTGTCTTTGTAATTTGGGGTTCAATGGAAACATTGTACAGATGGCTATACTGGACTCTGTAAGGGATCCACTGAGCCCCCACTATGCGGAGATGGCTCTATACTGGACTCTGCAAGAGATCCACCGAGCCCTCACTATGCGGAGATGGCTCTATACTGGACTTTACAGAGGGAGGGCTCAGTGGATAAATTGTAGTCCATTTAGAACTTTGTATAGTGGAGTTCAGTGGATAGACTATAGTGGTCTCTACAATGTATCCACTGAGCACTGCCAGTATAGAGCTTTGTAGAGTGAGGGCTCAGTGGATACATTGTAGAGTCCACTATAGTATCTGTGTATCCACAGAACTTCACTATTTAAAGCTCTATACTGGACTCTAGAGGGCTCAGTGGATAAATTGTAGTCCAGTATAGAACTTTGAATAGTGAAATTCAGTGGATACAGATACTATAGTGGACTCTACAATGTATCCACTGAGCCCTCACTCTACAAAACTATACTGGGCTCAATGTATCCACTAAGCCCTCACTCTACAAAGAGTTCTATACTGGGCTCAATGTATCCACTGAGCCCCCACTATACAAAGAACTATACTGGGCTCAATGTATCCAGTGAGCCCCCACTTTGCATAGATAGCTCTATACTGGACTCTACAGAGTGAGGACTCAGTGGATAAATTGTAGTCTAGTATAGAGCTATCTGTGCAAAGTGGGGACTCACTGGATACATTGAGCCCAGTATAGTTCTTTGTATAGTGGGGGCTCAGTGGATACATTGCAGAGACCAGCGTAGAGTATGTGTATCCACTGAGCCCTACTTTGCATAGATAGCTCTATACTGGACTCTACAATGGAAGGGGGCTCAGTGGGCACATTGTAGTGTAGATAGTAATGGTGCTCAGTGGCTACATTATAGAATGTGGTATAGATCGGTCTGTCATTTTTGACTCGGTGGACATATTGTAGCAACTTGTGTTCTAGACGTTCTGGATCCATTATACTGAAGTTCTCTCCCGGTGGATACTTTGTATCAAGCGTTTCCTGTTGATATTGGATACATTGTATCGGAGTTGGTGCTGCCTGGGGGGGGATACATTGTGCTGCCTGGGGGGATACATTGTATCGGAGTTGGTGCTGCCTGGGGGGATACATTGTATCGGAGTTGGTGCTGCCTGGGGGGATACATTGTATCGGAGATACATTGTGCTGCCTGGGGGGTGCTGCCTGGGGGGATACATTGTGCTGCCTGGGGGGATACATTGTATCGGAGTTGGTGCTGTCTGGGGGGATACATTGTATCGGAGGGGTGCTTTGTTTGATACATTGTAGCAGGGTGCGGGAAGTGGTATAATGGAGTTCCCGCTCTGTGGAGGGTGAGGCGCGGCTCTGTGACAAGATGGCGCCGGGCGGCTCCCGGGAAGGGGGGGGGGGCGCTACCGCCCTCCACCTGTCCCTCTATGCACCTGAGTGACGTAACAGGGCGTGGCCGTGACACCGGGGAGCCGTTTTCCTCAGTCCTTGCCTTTGTGTGCACTTAGAGCCATTACTGGGACAATTAAGGTGCAGCCATGTGTAAGGGGGGGGGGGGGGGGCGTTGGCCTTCGCCTCAGGTGAAGCCTGGATTGTTAAACTTCGTCCCCCCCCCCCCCCCCGTAGTTTCATGTGCCTTCCTTCAATGAACTGCCTAGCAGAGGATCCGACCCTCCCCCGGTACTCAGAGGCCTTCACTGGGCCTGAACTCTGCTGACCTCTAGCCACCACCCGGCCAGGCATTCATATGGCTCAGGGGCGGACTGAAAACTCATGGGCCCCCGGGCAATAGGGGATCATGGGGCCCCTGTGTCCTTGCCCAAACTCAAAAAAGCCTATGAAAAAGGTACCAGGGGCATCTCATGGGGCCCCCTACTGACCCCGGGCCCTCAGGCAGTGCTTGAGTTTCCAAATGGTCAGTCCGCCCCTGATATGGCTCCATTGTAGAGTCCAGTATAGAGCTCTGGGGGGGCTCAGTGGATCCATTGTACAAGTGGAAGCAGAAGACCCCCTAGGGCCGGTTCACACTACTACATGCAATTCAGTTTTTTTTTTTTTTTTGCATCCAAAACGCACGGAAAGTAGGTCATATGGTTGTCATAGTCCACATCAGTGCTTGCAGTTCCAGTGCATTCTGGTTGCAGAAAAAATGCTGTATTTTTCCTGCACAGAACTGGATCGTGGTAAGAGGCTGGAACACATCAAAACCCACCAACACTGGAACACGTGTCCTTTATTTAAAATGAGAAAAGAGGAAAAAATGAACCGTAATGCATAAAAATGCATCAGAACGTCACGCATGCAGGAACGCATCTGGACTGTTTCTATGGTGTGCACCGCCCTAAAGCAAACATAGCATCTTGCCAATTCTTCACTGGCTGCTTTAGGTTTCTTTTTTGGACTTGTTTTCATGTGGTGATCTGGCCAATAAGTCTGTTTTTTTTTAAAAGAAGCTCTCTGTGAATGTAACAGATGGCTGAGACAAACCATTTACCACACAGGGGTGCTTACAATGATCAGCTTTTGTTCGTTTAAAACCTTTATCCCGAATTGAACAAAACTATTAGTTCTAATGACTTGTAATGTATTGGGGATGGCTTCAATTAGTGTATTTAAACCTGCTAGTACTTCTAACATTCTCTCCCCAGACTGACAATGCTGCTGTCCAAAGGTGCCCCCTGTACGCCTTAATCCAGAATGGGGGCACTCTAATACAGGAGGTGTTGGCTAGATCACTAGGTGAAAACGGGACCAAGTCTTAATCTCTTCATGCCAGTCATGGGCATATATGCGTTCTCTTGGTGGGTTGGCCTTAATGCTGAGGCCGCATATGCGTAACATGTAAACCTGTGCCGAGAGTGAGCCTTGCGCATTTCCAGCAGGTAACGGTTCTTTGCAATTGGGAGCTTTCTGATCATGTGACTGCTGTAACGGCCATCATGGTGGTCACATGACCAAAATTCCTGGCTTCTGAAATCTCAAAGGGCCAGGAGGTGACAGTGGGAAGGGCTTAAAGAAAGCTGATGCAGCCACCAAATGTAATGATTGGTAAGCTGCAATGTTACATTTTTGTTGTGGATTCAGTTTTCAACCTTCACTGGCTGCATGCTTATTCTAGGTCACTGGTTCTGGGCCCCATCCAGAATCAAATCTGGTGGCTGCACAGATTTCTATCCTTTCACTTTAAGCAGAATGTGTATGTGTTCTGTCTGGCAATCCAAATGTGGCACAATTTATTTATTTTTGTTCAGGTTTGGAAAATAACCTTTACCCCTGGTTCACATATTCGCATTCCTGCGGGCCGTGTTCTGCGCAGGCACAAGAGCTCATTCATTTGAATGGACTCCCGTGCCCGGGGACACGCAGGGAAGAAGTCCCTGCACTTCATCTGAAAACGCAGCCCGCACGGGAACCTCAGTTCCCAGTGCAGTTGCGATTTTCCAGTGGGGGTGGCGTGCCATTAAAATTAATGGCACCCGCCCGTGAGTCTGCATTCTTCTGTGTGGGTGGTGCGGCTGCATGGATTTTTGTGCAGATCTGCAGCCGCACCACCTGCACATGTGAACCTAGCCTAGCTTAGTCTCCTATATGGCTGCAGCATCATTGTCCTCCCCTAGCTCTACACAGAGCTAGAGTGATCACACCTCTGATTGCTCAGTTCTCTGGTCCACTCTAAGCACAGAGCAGTGACTCAGTCACTGCCTTTGTTCTGCCCCTCCAGTGCTCACTGGAGTGCCAGGCTGTGGAGGGGGCCGGAGTAGTTGGCTCACTCAGCAGTGCACTGGGAGGCGGAGTCAGCTGCCGGGCAAGTTTCTGGGTGGATCCTGACAATATTGTCAAGATGCCTGCTGAGCCTGGGCCAGCTCAGTGACATCAGCCTGTAGTGGGCTTTATTTAGTCTTAGCTGAATCTGGGTCATGGGGGTGCAGAACGAACTGCATTCTAGTGATCATAGTGTGGCCAAAAGGGCTTTGGCCATGCTTCTCAATCAGAAGGTGGATACAATTTGGGGAAACCTATAGCATAGAAATTTGGAAGCTGCCACATTGGACTGTTAAAGTCTGAGCTTTGTAGCTGTTTTATCCATCTGTACTGCTTGGTGAGTAACAGACTAAGCCCTTGTTCAAAGCTGTATGACAAGTTGCACCTAGTGCAGTGTTTCTCAACTCCAGTCCTCATGGACCCCCAACAGGTCACGTTTTCAGGATTTCCATTATTTTGCACAGGTGATTTGATCAGTTTCACTGCCTTAGTAATTACCACAGCTGTTTCATCTGAGGGAAATCCTGAAAACATGACCTGTTGGGGGTCCATGAGGACTGGAGTTGAGAAACACTGACCTAGTGTGATCTGTCAGGGTGCGACTTGTCATGTGAATATGCTACTATGGAACCATTCAAATCGGTGTGACTTGAACTGCAACTTTTAAAAAGGTTCCTGCACTATTTTTGTGACATCTGTATTAAAGCAAGTTCCAGCTGAAAGTCAGCAGCTACAAAAACTGTAGCTGCTGACTTTTAAAATACTTACCTGTCCCTCAGTCCAGCGGTGTCCTCACCACTGCTGGTTTCACCAGCCATCTTCTCTCCCTGGCGCCAGCACCTTCAGCTTGTGGTTTCACAGCCGGGTGCTCACTGCTCATGCGCGAGAAGCACTGCACTTTTGACAGGTCCCAGAAGACTACGGGACCATTCACAATGTCCCAGAAGACTACGGGGGGGGTAGTAACTTCCGCTTCCAATCGCCTAGGCGATCGCAGTGTAAGAAGGAGCAGGTACCTGTCAAATTTGGGGACCCACTCCCCAAAGGTGCCAATCCTTAACGGGGAACGGGGGAAAAGTGTTTAAAACAGAACTTCCCCATTTGGGTGGAGCTCCGCTTTAAATCACACCACTGTCAGCAGCCACACAAAGTTGCACTGATTGGTGGCTTTGAAATCACGCTGAAGTAGTACAACTTCAAAGCTGCACACGGTGTGAATCGGGTCTTATGGAGCAACCCAGACCTTCACACCTGGGCCAGTGATCACATGTAAGATCTATGAGGCCCTACTCTGATAAATTCTTATTTCAGAGTAGAATGGGGAAGGGGTAGATCCTCTAGAGGTCCATTCGCATTTCCTGTATGACAGGTGTAAATTGAGGATGGGGTAGGGGTGGTCTTGCCATACAGACACAAATGGGTATTCTGAAGTTGAAGATTAGCGCCTGTCAGGGCTCCACAAATCCCAGGTGCCAGGTAGCAACTAGAAATTGTCCTGGTGCCTGAGTTCACACTGCCTCCCATGGACTTCAATGGGAAAACCTGTCAATGGCAATCCTATGTGAACAGTTCTCTGCATGCCACTCTATCACTTGCAAGTCTGGAATGCACACTTGCACAGAACCCTCATAATGGAATTCAAAACCGTGCATATGGATCACATCAAATACAAAAAACACAATATCTAGCCTGTCATGCAAATCTGAGTTTTAAAACTAAGAATCATGTGTGAACCAGGATAGCTCCATTCACACCTGGGCATTTTGGGTTCTCAGCAAAGTCTGATCATAAAACGCTGATTCAGGTGCCATGATTTCCCTCTTTTTTTTTTTCCTCCCTCTGCTCTCTAAACTTGCTCGCTCCCCCATGTTTTTTCCTACTTTTTCTCCTCTCACCTAATTTTATTTGCCTCCCTCTTCTGCCCCCCCTTTTTTTTTTTTCCTTCCCCCCCCCCCCCCTTTTCTCTGGCCCATACTCTTAATGTATAGAGAACAGTCTGTACTCTGACACCATACTGTACTATGAGAGACACACATCGTACAGACTGGTCTGTATAATGTGCAGTATGGTGTCAGGGTACAGACTGCTTTGTGTATGTGTGGTGTCGGGGTCGACTGGGTACAGTGGTGTCGGGGTACAGCTGCTTTGTGTATAATGTGTGGTGTCGGGGTACAGACTGCTTTGTGTATAATGTGTGGTGTCAGGGTACAGACTGCTTTGTGTATAATGTGTGGTGTCGGGGTACAGACTGCTTTGTGTATAATGTGTGGTGTCGGGGTACAGACTGCTTTGTGTATAATGTGTGGTGTCGGGGTACAGACTGCTTTGTGTATGTGTGGTGTCAGGGTACAGACTGCTTTGTGTATGTGTGTGTATACAACTGCTTTGTGTATTATGTGTGGTGTCGGGGTACAGACTGCTTTGTGTATAACTGCTTGTGTATGTGTGGTGTCGGGGTACAGACTGCTTTGTGTATAATGTGTGGTGTCGGGGTACAGACTGCTTTGTGTATTATGTGTGGTGTCGGGGTACAGACTGCTTTGTGTATTATGTGTGGTGTCGGGGTACAGACTGCTTTGTGTATTATGTGTGGTGTCGGGGTACAGACTGCTTTGTGTATTATGTGTGGTGTCGGGGTACAGACTGCTTTGTGTATTATGTGTGGTGTCGGGGTACAGACTGCTTTGTGTATTATGTGTGGTGTCGGGGTACAGACTGCTTTGTGTATTATGTGTGGTGTCGGGGTACAGACTGCTTTGTGTATTATGTGTGGTGTCGGGGTACAGACTGCTTTGTGTATTATGTGTGGTGTCGGTGTCGGGGTACAGACTGCTTTGTGTATAATGTGTGGTGTCGGGGTACAGACTGCTTTGTGTATTATGTGTGGTGTCGGGGTACAGACTGCTTTGTGTATTATGTGTGGTGTCGGGGTACAGACTGCTTTGTGTATAATGTGTGGTGTCGGGGTACAGACTGCTTTGTGTGTGTGGTGTCGGGGTACAGACTGCTTTGTGTGTGTGGTGTCGGGGTACAGACTGCTTTGTGTGTGTGGTGTCGGGGTACAGACTGCTTTGTGTATAATGTATGTGCATTCAGTACCCTGACACAGTACTGTAAATTATATACAGACCAGCGTATATAGCGTACAGTATGGTGTCGGGTCAGTGGCATCACTAGAGTTGGTGACACCTACTCTAGTGATGCCACTGACACTTTTGCACTGGAAGGACGCTTTATTTTGCAGAAAAGATGCTAGTTCTATAATGCAATATAGGCTTTTTCTATCAATATTGTTTCAGCGTGTACAATGAGCTGTATGTGCAGCTGGGTGTACATGCTAGGAACTCAATGTCTGGATGAATGACCTGTCTGCAGGAATTGGTGTTCAGTTCTCCTTTAGGCCTCATGCAAGCAGGTGCCTGGGGCTGTATGACCTAACATTTGGGTGCATTTCCCTACCCAGGAGCCACAGGTGCATACAGCCACCCAGAGAAATCACTGGCTGTATGTTGGTACTGTGTAAATGTTTAGACATGTACAGCCCTGAACAGACATTTTGCATGTATATTATGTGCACCCTTGGATGTTGGCCTCGCACCTATCAATGCCATGTGGCAATGTGTGTTCCCAACTTCACATATTACTCTATAGATACCCACCAACAGGCTTGTAATCACTAGGTACTACATGGCCTTTGATTTGTTCTGCCTGGCTTTAAGCACTAAAATGTGTATGTAGGTGCCTATAACATGTTCCTATATCGTTTTGGGTGTTAATTTTGTCTTTTTTTTCTTCTAGATTGTAACTGCAAGAATCTTGTAAATGCAAAGTGTGCTCCAGATGGTACTGGACAAAACTGTGATTGTGGCATTCAACTAGGTACAGATGTAAAGCCAGTGGACTGTAACAAATGTAAGTACCAAAATCAATCCATTTTAAAATGTGGTGTTTTTTTTTCCTGGCCCAATAGTGTTGAAAAACGTCACCCTGCATTAAATTTGCCTTGTGAGACATGAAAGCCATTTGTAAACCAGAGTGCTATTTTTCTTTTTGTAAGGGATTCCCTATATATGGTCTAGAACCAGAACAGCCTGTTTTAAGCGGTTTCTAAATGGTTTAAAACTCAATGCACAGTGCAGCCAATCTGGGAACAAAACTGCAAATACTCCAACTGGAGCCCCGTCTAAAGGCAGACCAGGGGCGGACTGACAACTCAGGGGGCCCCTGGGCAATAGGATCATGGGGCCCCTGTGTCCTTGCCCAAACTCAAAATCCTATGAAAAAGGTACCAGGGGCATCTCATGGGGCCCCCTACTGACCCTGGGCCCTCAGGCAGTGCCAGAGTTTCCAAATGGTCAGTCCGCCCCTGAGGCAGACTACACCTGACCAAAACTGCAACGTTGACGTTTGTGGTTTTTCAAGTTAACTGATGCTGGCATAGAGCTACATGTTTGTTTGAAATGTCTTCAAAGCCACCCAAATTAAAATGTGCTTTTATACAGCCGGCTCATACTCTATTGCCTTTTTGTATTCCTTCCCCCTCCCATTTTTAGAGTGTAAGCTCTTATGAACAAGGCTTTCCAAATCCTCATTTGTGTATCCACAGGCTCTTTACTCTGTAAAGAGCTGCATAAACTGATGTATATTCTGTAGTTTTGGATATCCCCCCTTCATGTAATGCATGTTGACATTTTTCTTGCATTTTCCAGTGGTACCCAAATGCTGGCTAATGAAGAGAGAGAGCATTGGAACCAAAGCTGGAAGAAGAGTGAGACCTGTAAATGCTCTAGTTGACAATGATGGGCTGTATAATCCAGACTGTGAGGATAATGGTACCTTTAAAGCAAGGCAGTGCAACAACACAGACACTTGCTGGTGTGTGAACACGGCTGGAGTTAGAAGAACCGATAAAGGAGACAAAAACTGGAAGTGTTCGGAACTAGTTAGAACTTAGTAAGTAATGGCTGTTCAGCACTGGTGTCTAGAGGTGGCGGTTACATATCCTACATTTACTAAATCTAAACTTTTTATCTTGGGAAACATCTGAGCTAAAGGTTTGGAAGCCTCCATTGCCATCTTGTGTATATAAAGGTGCAGGCTTTAGGGGCAGATTCCTCTCCTTGAAGATGCAGGTTTTAGGGGCAGATTCTTCCCCTTTCTCTCATTCATGGACTCTGTAGTCTTGAAGGTGCAACTTGTGATCTGTAGACATGTTTAAGGTCAGTGATTTATTAACACAGATCTACACTGCATCTGAGCACCACAATAAACACTAAAGTAGTTCTAATGTCAGTTTTTCTTGCCTCAATTCTCTCTGCATTGAGGGGGGAAAACAGCCTGTCCAGGATCACTCATCCCCCGCATGCCTAACCTGAGCCTGATCTTGATCAGCGCTGTGCACAAGGGCAGCAACACTCCTTCCAAACAGGGCAGATTGATAACAGCAGGAGCTATTGGCTCCTGGTGCTGTCTGTCAAAACCTAGGACCGGTGGGTGGGTTAAAGTCCTGCTGCCGGTCTGTGGTTGCAGACAGTGGGGCTTTGGCGCAATGTCACAAGTGCCCACCTAGCAAGTGGCTTGCTGGTGTACTTGGAAGCCAGGAGTGCTGATGGGGGATTCCAGAAGAGGATTGGGGCTGCTCTGTGCAAAACCATTGCACAAAGCAGGTAGATATGTGTTAAACCAAAAATATAAAGCTTTAGAATACCTTTTTTTTTTTTTTTTTTTTTTTTTTTTTTTTATCAAAGCAAACTCTCCCATCCATCCATGTCTCCATGCTTTTTGCTGAGTAATCACTTTGAAAAATGCCCCCTAGCTTTTCTGGCTGTGGCCATCTTGAGTAAGGGCAAATTATTAGAATTTACTTCTGGGAATCTCTGCCCTTAGCTCAGGCATGTATGCAGAAGGGTATGCTTAGCTGAGAACTCCTCCTGGGATGTGACAATTTGTCTAGGCCTAGAAGCAGGAAGTAACTGAAGACTTAAGTTTAAAACAAGTAAATATATTCTATATTTACGGCTAGCATCATTCAGATTAAAACATAGTTGAGTTTTGCTTTATACACCAAAGCAAGAAGAGGGCCGCAAATGCCATGGAAACTCCATGTTGGAGGGTGCTGGCTCTCATATGTACAAGGAAATGTTCCCTTTTTTTTCCACTTTTTTTGGAAATATGGCATGGAATCAGACTGTAGGATGACTTTGAAGTAGTCTATTCCTGGCCTGTAACATTGTAAGGTTCATTTCTGGAATACAAGGTAACCTACCCACAAACCTGTATCCTGGTGTTCTAATGGGTGAAAAGTCCTGGGTATGTAATTTGTGCTTGTGTCTGGGGCAGCTCTTTGAATTTCTATGCTGAATTGTTTACTGGGGTGTACATTTTTAATTTTGGAAAATAATTTAATTCATTTTTTATAGCTGGGTGATAATTGAGATGAAACGCAACAACACTGAAAATGTGCCCACTGGATCTATTGAAGGGTAAGCACTGCAGTCTTTAAGTGTATTTTCAGATGTATTTCCACAGATGTGACCACTTACAAATCTGTTTCCTCCATCAGAGCTCTGCGAAGCCTGATTACTAACAGATATAACCTGCCTGCAAAATACATTGATGGCATTGAGGTAAGTGGCTATTCATGCTCTGTATCCTATAACTGTCATCCTCATTTCAACCATAGCTTTTCACTTACTTTTGTAGAAAGTTCTACTTTTCCTTGGCATCTAGAATCACTTGAGTGGCTATTGGTATAGATTGCTTCAAGATTTATTTTACATGTTGACCTAGCATTTTTGTAGCAGTTAACATTAAGGATCCATTCACTGCATTTATTTGCAGTAATGCATGCTACAGGCATTTGTGTGATATGGGGCCATATGTTTTGAACACCGCATTGCACTTTTCTGATTTGCATTGCTCTGCAGCATGCTGGCAGAAATGGTACATGAACCATTTTCTGGTACATTTGGAAGCCAATTAAAATGAAAAAGCTGCCTTAATGCAACATGCATTAATGCCCTGCAGTAGTGTGAATGGGCCCTTCAACAAAATGTTCTCCAGTCCTATGTACTGTTCTGAAGGATGCCCCAAAGCATGTGTGCCACCACACGACATGCAGCTTTGCTCTGACATGCTATGCTGCACATTTTCTGCGAATAGGTAGCCTACCCAAAGGAATGGGCTGCTTTAACATGTGACATAACACGCATGAACCCAGTGGGGCAGTGTGAAATGAGGCTAAACTACAAAATGTAAAGGTTTTGTTGTAATGCAGACTTTTATAAATGGCCTGTCAGCAGAGCATTTTCAAGTAACTTTCTATGTTGCCGGAGTCTGTTGCAGATTCTCATTGCTGCAGTGAATTCTAAGTGACTTTAAGCTTGCTTGACATGACTTTTTAAATATGGTGATGTGACTGCATCTTCCAAATGATTTACTTTCTCAATTTTTATAAAATTTTCATTTACTACAGAGATGAGAAAAGGGAGAATGCAAAAAATATTGTTCGATATCCAGATTTCTTAACACTTAAACAAACTTGCATACAATTGAATCCTATGTAGGAATGTATAGAATGGCTCTCCTCCCCATCCTATATGAATACTAATACTTTATTCTACACCCTATATTAAACTCCTTAAGGCTACGTTCACACTAGCCTTGTGTGCAGGCGGCAGAGAGGCATTTGGTAAGCGTTTTTACCGCTTCCCAAACGCCTCTGCCAATTCTGCACATTACAGCACATGGTGCTGTTCTAACGGGAGCGTTTGCGTTGCGTCGCGTTGCGTCGCAGCAAAACTGACGCCTCTGGACGAGTCAGGAGGCTTTGAAGCCTCCTATTCTCGTCTATGGTGCCGCTCCGCAGCTCCTGCGGTTGCGGGGCGTTTGCGGAGCGGTAACACCACTCAAACTGCATTATAGGCGTTTGTGGGGTGTTAACGCTCGGCAAACGCCTAGCAACCGCCGCTAAACCGCGCATGCGGCGTTTGCGGAGCGTTTGCCGAGCGTTAATAACACTCCGCAAACGCCGGACCAACGCTTGCCAAACGCTATAGGGGCGTTTGGCAAGCGTTGGCAAAACAGCCTAGTGTGAACGAGCCCTAAGACTGGAAGAGGCAGACCCAAAAAGTTGGCCCATAGCAATTTTCTAATTTGACCAAACTCCGTTCAAAGCAGGGGTGGAGTGACCATTTGAGAACTTGGGCACTGCCTGAGGGCCCGGGGTCAGTAGGGGCCCCATGAGATGCCCCTGGTACATTTCATAGGCTTTTTGGGTGTGGTTTGAGTGAGCAAGGACACAGGGGTCCCATGATCCCCTATTGCCTGGGGGCCCCATGAGTTGTCAGTCTGCCCCTGGTTCAAAGCATTAAGGTTACCAAATCTGCTTCCATACATATGATCCAGGGGGTCCACCTTAAACAAGTGTGTGGTTGTGCTACAGTTTTCTGCCAATGTCTTGATCTGAGCTCTGGCCATGTTACAAAAAGAGAAACTGAGTGACTTCTATGAAGAAACTGTACCAGGGAGTGCTACCATCTTGGGTGTCTAAGGCTGGCTATACACTATACAATTTTCTGTCCAATTTCCTTTAGATTTACCTTCAACTATGTAGTGTAAGGGCCTGCCGAATTAAATACAATTGAATGTGTTTAGGTTTGAGCCCCTATTAGTTTTTTTGGTAAATCTGAAGCAAAATTGTATAATGTATGGCCAGCCTTAGTGTTCTACCTAACCCACCTGTCTGTGTTCATTCAGATATTAATGTTGAAACATTTTTTTAGATGGGCTGAGTTGGTATTATCATGCTAATACTAATGTTTTCTTTAGGTTGTAGAAAACTCTATCTTCGTAGATCTGAAACAGAATTCTTCAGAGAAACAAGCTCACGATGTGGACATTGCCGATGTTGGTTACTACATGGAGAAAGATGTAAGTATAGGCCTTCTACAGCAAGCGGTTTCATCATACCTCCCTAATTTTCTGGAGCTAACTTTTGAACATCTTCAAGCACAAAAGAATCCAGTTACTGTAATGCTGTCAAGCTGAATATACAGAAATACCCTTTTAGATTTCCTAGGTGCTGCAAGGGTTAAAATACCTTGTGCTGGGAGCACCTTGGAGAGTAGGATTGCAGCTCACACAGGCAGTGGCCTATATCACCAGTGGTCCCAATGCACTCTTGCTCTAGTCAACAGTACTAGGGGAACTAGAGAAGTGGTGGTTGAGGCAATGTGCAGGGAAGAGTGGGTTGCTGAAGTCCAAGGCTCTGCCAGTTCATGGTATTTAGAAAAAAAATTGTATTGCTGTATATGCAGCCTTACTGCATTAGTTATACAAGGTTCAGGCTGGCTTTAACCACTTGCCTACTGGACTTTTATACCCCCTTTTTGTGCTCGGGACAATTTTCAGCTTTCAGTGCTATTGCACTTTGACATTTGCGCAGTCATGCAACACTGTACCCATATGAAATTTGTATCTTTTTCAGACAAACTGCTTCCTTTTGGTGGTATTTAATCACCACTGGGTGTTATTTTTTGCACTATAAACAAAAATAGAAACAAAAAAATCAAATTTTTTTTGCTCTATGCAAAAAATTTGCAAACAGGTATTTTTTCTTCACTGATGTGTTGAGGCAGCACTGGTGGGCACAGGCTGCACTGGTGGGCACTGACGGGCTGCTATGATTGGCCTTTTACCTCATTGCATGATCAGCTGTGTACATAGGACACGGTGATCGTGGAGACTGCTGGGGGTGCGTTCTGGGACAACATCATGACTCCCTCCCAGAACTGGACAACCATGCTGTAGCCATCATTCAGTTATAGTGCGGTTAGCAAATGGTTAAACAATATTTCTTGGCAACAGTTTTGTTAAATTAATCTCCTTTTTGGTTTACATATTACATCCAGAAATGTTATTTCTCTAGTTTTATTGCAACAGGATAAGCAGACACTGATTTATTTATAGAACTTTTTTTTTCCCACCATTAAACAGATCAAAGGTGATCCAATCATTACTTCAGATGTGCCATTTCAATTCATGGTCAATGGCAAGAACTTTGCTGTAAAAGAGCCTGTGATCCTCTACATTGATGAGAAGCCCCATGAAATCAGCATGAAGCATCTGACCCCGGGTGTGATTGCAGTCATTGTGGTGGTGGTCGTGGCAATTGTTGCAGGAATAATAGTCTTGGTGAGTTTTGAAAGTTGTTTGACTAACAAAAGCAGGCAGTCTTTAATTTTCTGAAGAGAGAAGTATTGTCCATCTTTAATTTGTTTCCAACTAAGAATAAACATTTTATTGCTGAATATTTCAGCTATAGTAGGATTGCTAGTGTAACTTCCACACAGTATTGGCCAACTTAGCAATTCAGACTGATGACCACTAGTTTAGAATTCTGATCATGTGGAATTGTTTCTTGGGTCTAGTTTTATTATTGTAATCACTAGTACAGAGATCTCACTGGCCTATTTTGAAATCAAAACTAGGTATAAAACTCGACTAGTTATAAAAATGGCTTCAGGGAACCATAAATATCCAGAACTGGGAACAAATCATACTATGCAGCCTGCACATGTGCTTATGGATGCCTTCTGTTGGTCAGCAAGGGTTTAAGGTCTAAGATGTAACTGTGCTGTCTGGTGGAGATAATGCCTAGTGCATAAAGCATGCATTGCAATCTTTACCTGTTCTGTAATGCCATTGGTGACCTACTTGTCAAATCTCATTGCTTGGCTGCCATTGCTGACTCTGGCTTCATCCCTGACTTCCTGGTCTGTATCCTGGATCAATAACTCAAGAAGCCTAACTGAAGCATATGTTTTACTTTATGAAAGTGAAGAGTAACTAGGGTAAAACATCTGAAGCAAGTGCTACTTTTTACCCAACATTTGGGGAAAAGCCAATCATGGAAGCTACATGGAATGGAATGATCATGGCTCCCAGATTGTGAAGTTTACCTTGAAATCATAGGTTTTCAGCACTTTCCAGAAGAACTGGACCTGAAATTCAGAAACCGATTGCAGAGAGCCTTAAGGTAGCATGGACTATCATTTGTATAGTGTTCAGCTCATGTATCCCTTGGTGCTAATGTCATGTGCTGCCACAATGTCCTGTAAAATAGGGACTGCTTCCCAGGTAGTCAAACTGATCATAGCACCACAGGTCTGTAGGCAAACCTTTACCAGCCTGAATAAAACTTTCTGGTTAACCTATGTCATGAAGTGTTGCAATGGGTTTAAAAGCTTTAACTGATCTCCAATTTCCTTAACCAGGTTCTGACCAGGAGAAAGAGAGGCCGCTATGAAAAGGCTGAAGTAAGTAATTTACTATTGTGGGAAATCTAAAGCTTTAGTCTATGGGTGGTAAAAATTATTTTTTTATATGGATTTGATAAAGGAAAAATTTTGAATAGAAACGAAGGGAGTTGACATGTCTTTCAATGAGCATCTCCTGGACTTATCCTTGCTGCACTAAATTGAAACCAACTTGTGCATATCAGACTTAACACTTTACTGGCCTATATTCGTAAAAGGACAAGTTCACCTTTATGACAAAATTTTAATGCATCTTTTTGGCAGGGAAAAAAGTTTGCTTTTTTAAACTGGAGCCAGTAAAGTATTGCACAGTTGATCTACAGGGTGCAGTGCTAGGCTCCTGGTCAGTTTCAGTACTCTGCCCCTACCTCCTGTACAGGTAAGCAATTAAAGTTGCAGGAATGGTCCATTAAATGGGAGCACTCACCAGTGCCTTTACAGTTCATTGAGATCTTCAAGCAGTTGGCAGTAATGGCTGACTGTAGTCACAGATCTCTGAAAGACTTCAAAATTGTGATGGTGCAGAGAGAAGATGCCCTTATTCCCCCCCACAGCTGTCACAAGGAACAAGGGGTTGGGAGGAGAGGAGGCAGGAGCTGGAATGTTACATGCTACACCCTAAACTAAGGTGTAACATGTTCCAAAGGTTAAAGCATTTGTGAACTGCAGCTTTTTTTTTTCTCTAAAACCTGCAAGACAATGGCATATGCTGGTAAGCATTGCATACTAGCACATTATGAAGTACTTGCTTTAGAACAAAGCACTCCAGTGGCACTCACAGCTGACAGGGCTTCCATCTTCACCTGGTCTTCCTTTGGGTTCATGTGCTCCATCCATCTGACTGGCCATGCTACGATGGCATGTTTTCAGCTGCAGCACGGAGCTCTGAAGGGACACCACAGGTACGTTGTCCCTTCAGAGCGCATACAGCTGATGTCACCAGCTGCATGCAGTGTGAACATCTAAACTGTGCAAGTTTAGGAGATATTCACTATCTATAGGTAAGCCTTACAGGCTTACCTGCAGGTACAAGTTACTAAATATTTTTTTTCTTTAAGCAAGAATAAAGTGCTCTGGTGGCCTCCGGTTTGTATTTAAAACTGAACTTTATGGACTAGTGCTCTTTTCTACGCCATAGAAGCCAGTTTAAGACTACGAATTGTAAACAAGCATGAATGCCTACATGCAGTTTGGAACAAATGGCTCCATATATATCCAATTTTAAATGCATTGTTGGCTCATGCACAAAATGATTTGTATGGCTCTGCTCACTAACCTAATATGGCATAAACGCTGTATTTTCAGTGTTTCTGATCCATATGAGGCAGCATCTTCTATAGAAGGTTCTACTGGGCTTTGGTTCATTGGTTTAATTTTTTTTGGCCCCCCACCTTCACCTATTTTGGGTTTAATTTGCATACATTCTAGAATTTCTCTACATGCCAGCAGTCCTAAAATCCACTTTCTTTTTCAGATGAAGGAGATGAATGAAATGCAAAAAGAACTCAACTCGTAGATCAAAAGTGTCAACTGGATCACATCTTTCAGGGACCCATGACTGGTGTGCTGAACACTTGCATACTAGGTTCATTATGAAATCAAGCAAGCTGTGTAACTGTATAGAGCTTTGGAGAATATTTATACCAGGAGACTTCATCTTGCACCTGCATATCTTGTGACTTTTTTGTTTCTTGTAGTATGTGAGCCTGTGAAGTATGGGTTTGTCTTTTTAATAGAAAGTTATAGGAAAGTCTTTCAACAGTGCTACTTTGTTGGATGAAGATTTTTCTCTTCAAGCAACTGGCTGAAGATGTTCCAAAGAGCTTTTGTAAAAGTGGGCGGGAGGGTGGGTAATGTTTAAGATGCAACTTTTTTTTAAAAGACTTGTAAATATTCTGTATTAAAGAGTGGATTTTTTTTTAATGTAACATTGAATTCAATAAAAGTGGAAAAATTTTAAGCTTGAGAATAATTTTTTACAGACCAGACAAACTGCTCATTCAGCTAATGTGCAGAGGGGGTAAGGGGTATAATACAACCTATCATGAACCCAAATGTGGGTTCATTATTGGTCTGCCACGCACTGCAATGGGACAATCGGGTTCCCACCTCAAATCATAACACTGAAAATAGAGACAAGCATTTGTAAATAATTTGAAATGCCTGTCATTCTATGTATAGTGCGCAGTTAAAGAAATTTCTCCTTGTCAACAAAAGCCTGGAGCTGAGCAAGAAGAAAACAAGTGTAATGACAAGGTTGGGATGGTGCTAGGGCCACAGAGGTTTGAGGCTTGATTAGAGCCAATTCTCAAGGGGGAGTCCAATGAGGTTTAAGGACTTTATGGAAGACATTGTGGCTCTCAAGCAGGGGTGGACTGACCATTTGGAAACTTGGGCACTGCCCGAGGGCCCAGGGTCAGTAAGGGGCCCCATGAGATGCCCCTGGTACCTTTTTTTTCATAGGCTTGTTTGGGCAAGGACACAGGGGCCCCATGAGTTGTCAGTCTGCCCCTGCTCTCAAGTGGTATGCATGGGGTTTTTGTTTAATTTGCTGCAACTTTTTTAAAGTTGCATTTACAAAGAATATAGAGTAAACAAAGTAAAAAAAAATACTCACCGGCCACTTTATTAGGTACACCTGTTCAATTGTGTGTAACACACAAATTGCTAATCGGCCAATCACATGGCAGCAACTCTATGCATTTAGCCATATAGACATGGTAAAGACTTCTTGCTGTTTAGAGCATCAAAATGGGGTCAAGGGATTTAAGTGACTTTGAACGTGGTATGGTAATTGGTGCCAGACGGGCTGTTCTGAGTATTTAAACTGCTGATCTACTGTGCTTATGTACAACCATCTCTAGGGTTTACCGAGAATGGTCTGAAATTTCCAGCGGTTGTGTGGACAAAAATGCCTTGAGATTAAAAAAGAATGGGCAGATTGGTTGCTGTGACATTCAGTTGGTAGGGTCAGTATCTGTTGAAATCATGGATCCATCCTGCCTTGTATCAACAGTTAAGACTGGTGGTGGTGTGGGGGATTTTTTTCTTGGCACTAGCAAGATGTACCTAATGAAGTGGCCAGTGTGTACAACCATATTTTTCATGGAAACCGATTCTGATGACATGGTGGCTGCACTACTGTTGCAGATCAACTAGAACAGGGGTCTACAAACTTTTCTAAACAATTGGTCAGTTTACCATCATTCAAACTTTAGGGGGGCCAGACTGGTTAGTGGGAGTAGAAAATGACAAGGTGTCAGTGGGAGTAAACTGTGCCCCATTGTTGGTGTCAGGGGGAGGGATAGTACCCCATTGTTAAAGGAAGGAATAATGACCCAAGGGCTGAATGAAAGCAAGCACCAGGTCAGTTTGGAGACCACTGAACTAAAAGCAAATTGAGACAAATATGGTGGAGTGGTTTATTTAAAAAAAAAGTCAATTGGTATGGGAAATTGACTCCGTAGTAGAGAAGCAATTTGGAGGGAGTGGGGTTTGGGGGTTACACCATGGCTGGAGGGAGTGGGTTTGGGGGTTACACCATGGCTGGCGGGAGTGGGGTTTGGGGGTTACACCATGGCTGGCGGGAGTGGGGTTTGGGGGTTACACCATGGCTGGCGGGAGTGGGGTTTGGGGGTTACACCATGGCTGGAGGGAGTGGGGTTTGGGGGGTCCCTCCATGGCTGGAGGGAGTGGGGTTTGGGGGTCCCTCCATGGAGGGAGTGGGGTTTGGGGGTTGCGCCATGGCTGGAGGGGATTGAGGTGGTTTCTTCCTTGACTCAGTCTAGAAACTCAACAGTAAAGCTGGCTACACATTCTACAATGTTCTTGTAGTGAAAAGACCTCCCTGATTGCATACAATTTTGAGTGTTTAGATTTACCAAAAACCATATAATTAGGTAAACCTAAAGGAATTGTATGTGTAGCCAGCTTTACAAAACGGTGACCAAGTAGTCCAATGTATGGATTGTTTTCCCTCAAGAAGGTAAGTTTATTACAGGTACTTGTATCACTGTCAATTTACACAACATTTTACATATATTGTACATTTACATCAGTCCCTGACTTGCATTCATACATACTAGGATCAATTTAGACAGGAGCCAATTAACCTACCAACATGTCTTTGGAGTGTGGGAGGAAACTGGAATACACCCAGAGGAAACCCATGCAGGCACAGGGAGAACATGCAAACTCCAGGCAGGGGGTGCTGTGGAGAGTGCAAAATCTGGTGCAGCTCTGCATAGAAACCAATCGGCTTCCAGGTTTTATTGTCAAACCTAATTAAGCTGAAGTTAGAAGCTGATTGGCTACCATGCACAGCTGCACCAGATTCTCAGCACACCAGTTTTTGTAACTCTCCCAGTGTGACAGTTATAAAGCAATTACCAACGTGTAACAGATCTAGGTAGTGGGGTTAAAACAGGTGTGATCAACTTTTTTTGAAGATCAAGGGCCACTTAAAGGGTTACTAAACCCACAACAGTACAATCAGTCTGTATATGCAGTAAAACATGCTTGGTATACTCACTGTGGAACCTAAAAGGTTAATCCTCATTGTCAAAAAAAAAAAAATTTGATCCTGATTTCTCTGCCCCTCCTCTTAAAATATCTTTTATCTCCTGATAAGACAGACTGAACCCATAGCCCTTCTGCTGTCACATGCTTAGTTTAGTGTGTATTTGCTAGAGGTTTTTTCCTTGGGAAAGTGCATGTGATCAGCACAGGGTTAAGCAGCACTGTCCAGACAGAGGTCAGGGGTTTTGCATCCTCCTAAAACAGGAAACTCCTCCAAGCTGTAACCAGTGCTCTGCTGGACACTGATAGAAGCCACGACTGCTCTAACTGCTGAGAAAAGGTATTTAGCGGTTTATATTTACTAAAATAAATGCATTTCCAAGTTGGGTACTATGGGGAGACCAGATATAGTGAATGCAGGTTCCTGGGTTTAGCAACACTTTGTGATTTAGTAACTGGTCGTGGGCCACAAAGTAGTTCAGAATTTTCTTTTTTTTTTTTTTTATGAATATCAAAATGAAAATTTTCCCCTGGCAGCCACTGAATGCCAGCAGGACCTTGGAGAGCAGAGGGAAAATAGATTGGTTCCTGTATATGTCCCACTACCCCTCCTGTCCAAGTGTAAAACAGAATGTGACTGGGAGGCCGCATGGGGTAGTGTTACTATTGTGACCCCTGATGCTACACCAGTAGTTTGGGGGGGAGTGGTAAAACACCTCACCTATGAGGCTTTACTGTCCCCAAACCGTAATTGTAAATGAGCCCTTACTATTCTAAGCCCCCTCTAAGCCTGGTTTCACACTGATGTGCTGCGATTTACCCACACCAGCGCTGCACAGGTTAGCTGTGCTTTGCCATAGACTTCTATTACATCTTGAGGGTGTGCTGCACTTAATAAAAGCTCACCAAACCTGCAGGATATAATAGAAGTCTCACTCAGAGCAGCTAAGCCGCAGGTACACTGCGCTGCACCCATGGATCAGTGTGAAAGCAGCCTGATAGTTAACCCTTTTATCGGTGCTAATATGCCCATTGCAAAAGAACAGTGTATGCATTTAACCCCTTCAATACCAGGCACTTATACCCCCTTCCTGCCCAGGCCAATTTTCAGCTTTCAGCGCTGTCGCGCTTTGACAATTGCGTGGTCATGCAACACTATACCCATATGAAATTTTTATATTTTTTTTTTCACACAAATAGAGCTTTCCTTTGGTATTTAATCACCACTGAGGATTTTATTTTTTGCTAAATAAAACACACCTGAAACTTTTGAAAAAAAAACATACTTTGTTTCTTTTATAAAATTTAGCAAATAACATTTAAATTTAGATTAAAATGTTTTCTGCTACATTTTTTTGAAAATAATTGAATTTGTACTTTTTTTTTCAAATTTTTCTACTTTTTTAAATTTTCTTTCTTTTTACTATTTTTCAGCGCACTGTGACCAAAGCAATACAATGTTACCATAGTAACATTGAACTACTCTGGGCAAGTGATTAGGATTTTATATATTTTTTAACACATTGATTGCTAATGGCAATATATTTCATTGATATTTGCAGTCATTGTTACTGAATGAAACTGATTCATTCAGTCTTTTGTTGTGATTAGCTGTGATTGGGCAACGCTGATCACATGATACAGATGGGCCATGATTGGCACTGTCTGTATCATGTGACTGCTTTGACCAGTCACAGCTAACAATGTGACGGACGTGGCGTCAGACCCCCAGCCCTTCTCACCAACTTGTGACCGAAGGACTAGCCAATCTAAAACCGTGCTGTCACGTGTGTAACAATGCCACGCTCAGCTGCACCCTGCACAAAGATTTCTCAGCTCACTGGAAAACAACCTATGTGCCGCAGCCTGAGAGCGATCGTTACTGGGTCAGGTTAATTATGCAATTAACCCTTCACACTGCCACCACCTTTTTGTACAGAGTAGGAGGAAACTCGCCAATCTTAGCAGTAACATTATGATGTTTGAATAAGAGTCTGT